ACAGACAGACAGACAGACAGACAGACAGACAGACAGACAGACAGACAGACAGACAGACAGACAGACAGATAGATAGATTTTGGGACATTTTAAATGGATTCTGAATCTTTGTATGTGAATAACGATTCCAATTTAAAACGATTTTTTTGGTGCACCCCTGGTAACTTGTACAGCAACTTACAGTGCCTTATTAAAAACATGCAGCCTTGTGTAAAAGTCACGGCTAGCAGTAGCATTTATAAATCACCTGAACATTAAAGTTTTACGTTTCAGTCAGACTGTGTACAGACACTGCTTCATCTGCTGGGACAGAATAAATCTCTTGTCCTGACTTCACTTCAAGAACTTCTCTTAAAATGAGATCACAGTTTCCTATTCCGATCTCCAGGTGCATCGTGGTACTGATCTGACATACAAGATGTGTTATGTCATCTGAAACCATTCAAATGATATTGTGTCAAATTAAAAGAAACAACTACTTGGATTTAATAAAAACAGAAACAAAATTAAACATCTCGCTTTCCTTTTAGGAATGCCCAAAAACACCTTTTATGGCAAGGTTTTAAACTGAAATGAGAGGGGATGGAGGTATACAGCCATTTAGATCAAACCTTGTAAATAATGTAATGTGTGATCTCATGGGATATTGTAAGATCTTATGTATTCTCTTGGACCTCAGAATATACAATAAATAAACAAACTCAGTTAAGCCCCTTTTGTGTTGAAGATGTTGATAAACTGTGGTGTTACATGGGGTTAATACCAAAAGTTATTCAGTTGTAAATGTACAAGCAACTATTACTTTATAATAGTGTTATTCGGATCCATCAAGTGGTTCATTGGTTTTTTAACTAGACAGGCAGAGTAGACCGTAATAGTTACTGGCAAAGTAAAAAAAAAAAAAACAAAACTTGTGTGATCATTAATGAACAACACGTGTTGGGGATGAATGTCGGCTACTAGCACACCATATTTTAGCTCGGCAGCTCTAAAACTGGTCGAAATATAGCCATTTGAGTGTTTGGAAGAGGCTGGTTAGCCAGTGTAGCCATTTTAAATGGAGTTACCTGTTAATAGCTGAGAGTTTCATTAAATTCAATCTATTGGCTCGTGAGATATTTTTGCTAACGCTACAAACAGACAGACAGGCGATAATGAGGTTCAGGGAAGGACTGTGCCACTGTCAGCTTCTAAGCCATCAGGCACAAATCCCAGGTCGTCTTCAGCGTGACTGCACTGCAGGATACGATCCACCTCCATCTAGGAGCGCAGAGAGCTGCTGGGCTATTTCTGTCCAGTCAGCGTTTATACAACCCAGGCCCTTAAAATAAAGGCTCCATCTCATCTCATGACTGATCATCATATCCATATTCATGATATCCACAGGCATGTAAAAGCACACTCTGATTCTTTTGATATTCACGAGCAACGGGGGATGCTGAAACCCCTGTGCGTGTTCATGTAAATCATGAGCTGACTGGGTTCGTCTGTGGCAGCCGTCAACAAACAAGGACCCCCCTTTCATTCTGCAAGTGTCATTTTGTTCTCTGGATGTCTCTGAGACATGAGGCAACACACAACCAGGCAGGCACACACTTCCATTGCCTTTATGTTGCTCCTACAACAAACTGCGACCCACTCCAGCACACCTACTTCTTTTTAAAATCACTGTAGCTATATCAATACAGCTCAAGTCTCTAAAGTAACATAAGTTCCTCCTTATTTTAAACCACTTCACAGCTCAGCGATCCATGTTTACTTAAGCCTTGTGAAACAAAGCAGAAGGTTCTCGGCTACGTCGAGGAAAATATCCAAAACGACGCGTCTTCTCATCTGTGTGTCAACAAGGAAACAGTGGCAGCAGCACTGACGCACCTTTATTTATGCCATCCTAAATTAAAGGCACTCGTTGAAACGCCACGAGGGCCAGTAAAAATTTAAATCCACCCGTTTTTCTTCTGTTGATGGTTCATTTGTGGATGTCTACCACTTACCATGTGATTTGTTTACATACATAATCCGCCAAAATATTGAACAGCAGTGATGTCCACATAAAAAGCCACCTGGGATGGAGAGGTCAGACATTTATTTATTTTTGATACAATCAACGCATAGATTTTCTGGGTAATTTAAAAGGATAAGTTAGGTAGAAATTCTAAACTTACTAGGGTTGGGCAATATCAGCAAAAAAATTAATCACGATTAATTGTGGTATTTAGCTGATAACGATTAATTTGACTATTAATCCCCTGGAGGCCCTGGACAACTGCATGCCCTAGTCAAATGACCAATTTAGTGGGAAAGATTTACAAAAATCTGTTCCAAATTGTGTCAAAATTACAGACTTCAGGCTTTATATCAATTTTTAAATTGTGTTGACAGATAAATAAATTACAGAACTTTTTCTTTTTAACGTCATATTTGAAGTGAAGAGGAGCACCGAGCACACTGATGGTGGCATTAATCGTATTAATCGTCAAGTGCCAAAAAGTAATCGATTGTTTTTCTGACGATTAATTGCACACGATTCGATTATGCCCAACTCTAAAACGTACCCGTCTAGAAGTAGTTTTCCAAAAGCCACATGTGTTTCAACGCTGAGCTCTGTCTTTATGACGCTCTGCCGTCCTGCTTGAGTCCCAATATTTATTCTTGACCGCTGTCTTCACTTGTTCTCTCTTCTCTTTCTCCTGTGTCCATCTAAACCAGTGTTTCCCAAAGTTGGGGTCAGGACCCAAAGTGGGGTCCCGAAACTTCAAGTTGGGGACCTGAAAAGATTTTCTGCATTAATTACATTTTTGACTTAGTTGTTACAAAGGAGTGAGGTTAGTGTATTTAAAATGGATAAATGTAGTATAAAAAATGTTGTTACTATGCCCATGTTTTGTTGACCTGATACAAATGTCTATCATCCAAAAATAGTTGGGGGCACAGGTCTCTGCTGCTGTTACTTTGTGGGTCAAAAGCTGAAAAGTTTGGGAACCATTGCCCTTTGGTTCCCAAAGTTGGGCTTGGGACCCAGTTATGGGTCATGAAGCACCTTGGATAATCTCCAGAAATCAATTTAAAGGGTAATAAAATAATTGCAGATGTAATATTTTACCTTTAATTATTACAAAAATACAAAATAAGTATAAATAAGTATTTATATTTGTGCATAAGCTGTTTGGATTGTCAAAAAGCCTGTGTTTTTAGGGTTATTAACAAAGTTCATGTACTCAGACCAGTAATATTTGGAGTCACAAGTTTTTGCCATGGATAGTTTGTGGGTCAGAAGACAAAAAGTTTGGGAACCACTGATCTAAACGTATTCCCTTCGACTCTACGTCTCACCCACTTCCACCATATTTGTTTACCTACAAAGACCAGTCCAATGCAGGTCAATCACTTGACTCAAGCTACCACTAGAGCTTTTGGCAGATTTGTTTGTTTACATTGAGCATCTACCCAAGACAGTGGTAGACATAACAATTGTTTAGGTTGTCCGAGACAACCTATTTTTGTTTCGGACAACCAGATCCTGTCTCCTGGTTGTCCGGTGGACAACCAAGAAAAAGAGAACTTGATTAAAGTTCTCTGCCGTGGGTGTCGATCATTTATAAAAATGAAAGGGAGAAAAAACTTGGTAAAACCAAACAGAACACTAAACTGTAACTTTTAATAAGTTCATGTACACAGGATACTCCTATTTAAGTGAAAATATTTGACCTATGGCAGAAAGAAGCTAATGAATGTTGAACTCTATTTTAAAAAAGAGAATGAGGAAGTTTTATTCACGCAGCTCCTGTCAACCTGGCTGACTGAGAACAATTATAAACTTCATCTACAGAACAATAAACTTGTTACATTACATTTTTCTTGAGATTCTTTTGGACAAAAAGAAAACGTTTTGCGGACAGCCAGGTCTTGTCAACAGGTTGTCTGCTGGGCAACCTCAAAAATATCCTAATGTCTACCCCTGCGATATATCTGGAAAACACTCGGGATAAACTCTTTAAAACCATTACCACCCATGAAAAGCTTTTGCTACGTTTTATTTCATTCACGGCAGTGAGCACGTAGGGTTAAAAGCCCTCAAGAGCTTGGGTTAATCCAATCGACCCAGTGTCTAACTTGGACGTTCATTATTAGGGATGTAAACACAAGGATCATGAGTCCTATTGTCAGAGAACTTGTACTGTATTTCCACAAAATTTACAGCAAAATATATTTTATTTTTAGTTACCCAAATCAAACAGCACTTCTTCTGAGCAAATAAAGCCTTGGGACCCCTCTTTTGAAACCCTAATTTATCACATTCTGCAACAGCAGCAGCCCCGATGAAAAAAGCACAGCACTGGTTTGAAGCCAGTCTTATTGGCAGACTCCTGAAGAGTGTTTTTTGCTTTGCATGGTTATCATTTGTTTACAACACTACGGTCACTGTGCCGACTACTGCGTATAGCGCTAACTGGCGCTAACTCTATGCAAAGAGCACCTACGTACAGTGAAAACGTGTGGTGGCATTTTGGAAACCACTAATTTCGCCATCGTGTCTTCTCGTCGTGGAGGAGACCCGCTTAAAAATGTCATCTCTCACGAGAGAAAGCTAAAACGTCACAAAACCAGCGCTAAAGTGAAACTCTAACAAGCCGGTTGCGATTTTCCATTTAAAAAAGAAAAGAAAACTAACAAACAAAACGTGGAACAGCGAATGAAAAGTAGCAGTGAGATGATTTATATAAGAGGCTGAAATAAAACTATTCGGCTTTGTTAAGTTGGATGAAGGTGGTTTTAATAAAGATAGTTATCAACTTTTAAAGTTTTTGTCAACTCGAGGTTCTTTCATAACACTCGTGTGGCTCGTGCCTCTTGTCATCGGTCTCATCAACATCCAAATCTTTTCAAGTAGCTAATTAGCTTGTTCCGTCTCTCCTCTTCTTTTTTTCCATCTTCGCTCGATACCCTTCTCTCTGTCCTCTGCCTCTCTTAACCACCTCAGGCCTTTCCAGCTTCACGTACAACACCCAGAAGGTCTACACAAAGACGGATAAACACGTCTTTGGCGCTGAACAGCTGAAGGTGATGTCTCGGGTCGAGCGGAACCCTACACCGAGCAGCGGTGCCACCAAAGCGGACTGGCTGCAGAGTCTCCGGAGCATGATGGAGGCCCCGCCGTCATCCCGGCTTACACGTTCAAAAAGGCTTAAAACAAACCCGTGACAGCTTCTAATTGTTCGCCTCCAACGTTAAGACACGGGCTGGCTTACCTTTGCTTTAGTGATGATGTGTGTAGCGAGTTTAACGACCGCGAAATTCCCCTTGCCGATGGTCCGCTCGATTTCGTAGTGGCCCACTCGGGCCGGAGGGGGCCTGGTGGCCGAAGAAGTGTGGCCAGGATTGGCGATGCACCCGCCGGCCGTGCTGGTGCGACCGGCGTGGCTGATCCCGGAGGGCGGCGGGGCCCGGTTCTGGGGGCCCATGCCTGCGTGGGTCGGTCGGGCAGGGTGCGTAATCGCGGCCGCAGCGGACCCAGCAGCTCCTCCGCTAGACACGGCCGCCATCTTCTCGCCTCTCTGCGGGAACAACAAGCAGCCCCTGCGCAGCAGCGTATCGCGGGCACGCCCCCGCTCTGCGTCATTCGACGTGAGGCGCGCCTCCGCAGCGCCCTCTCCAGGCTGTAGCCGTGGCAACGACCGGCGTAACAAATGACTTCATCCGCAGAAACGTAGTGCGGTCGCCTTGGAGACAGAGAAGTGCGCATTTTCACCGTGGTTCCGATGATTCAGTGATTCCTCACAAAAGTGCTGTGCTATGTGTGAAAGTGTGCACCGTCTTAACAGAACAACGAAGGAAGACACTCACACTGAATACTAAATTAACATTTACACAAAATTATATAGACAGCTCCGCAGTTAGGCCATGCTACTGTACTAATCATCATTCCTAATACACAGATAGTTTGTTCAATTTAATAGAAACACCCACAAACACTGGTGTCCTATCTGAAGAAGCGTTGTTACAAACGTGACTAGTGTGCAAAAAAGAAGAAAAAGGAGAAAAATGGCCTTGACTTTTTGAGGGGGCAAAGAATGTTAGATAGATAGATAGATAGATAGATAGATAGATAGATAGATAGATAGATAGATAGATAGATAGATAGATAGATAGATAGATAGATAG